GGCCCTTCCCTTACATTTCCACCATCTAAAGGTGGAAATGTAAGGGAAGGGCCATTAGATGGTGGAAATGTAAGGGAAGGGCCAATTCCAGTGGCCTTTCCCTCAAATATGATACTGCAGTTTCCATTCACCTATTCTCGGATATTTGTTAAAGGTAAAAATGTCTTTTCAAACTCTTAATAAATTAATTAACAGGGACATATCATTACATTTCTCAGAAGACACGGGGGGAGAGTTAACTGCAGTAGTGTGATGGTACTTCCTTATTGTAGACAGACTGTTTACAGAATGAAGGTTAACTGCAGTAGTGTGATGGCTCTTACTTGGGAGGAGGGTTAACTGCAGTAGTGTGATGGTACTTACTTGGGAGGAGGGTTAACTGCAGTAGTGTGATGGTACTTCCTTATTGTAGACAGACTGTTTACAGATCGTAATCATGTAGCAGTTTGAAGGGAGATAGAGGAGTCATGTCTCTTGCCAACAAGTCTGTTACCCAGCATGTTAACATCTGCACATGCTCAGTCAAAACTTCAGTGGCCTAGTTCAAGTTTGACTCAGTTTCATTGATCTCCATCTCAATTCATTTAACTGCTTTACACAATAAATGTCAATCATTTTTAACTTCCCACTATACTTTAACTTATTGCTAGAACACTAACTAAAGTAAATCCAAATAAAACTCATAAATATCTGAAGGTGTCAGAGAAAAGGTCCCTGTTCAAGTGCCAAGTGCACTGTACCATATCAAATAACAAGGTTACTACCAGGGTATGAAAAACCAGATTTATTAAAAAAAGTTTCACAAAATATTAACCACTAATAAAAGGGTGCCTAACCAGGACATTGTAAATAAAGAATTCAAACTATGAATACAAAAAGAGAACTTTATTAATATCAAGATAATGATATCAATAATAATGAACCAGGAAGAAAGAACCAGAAGAAGAAATACATAACATGTAAGATCATTCACAATAACTACCACTACTAAAAACCTGTATATACAGTAGTAATTGGCACTACAATATAACTGTTAGAGACTGTTAAGTACTAAATTAGATAATATTGTATAAACGGAAAACGTACATTACCTGATAACTTGACACACAAATGTAAAATTCACTTTTTTTAATAATTTATGGGAATAATTAAAACTATTTACATAGAGAACACACTATATGTTTCAACAGGACATTAGTCTGTGTTCTGTACCTGAAGACAGCCCAATGTTCTTTAGAAAAAACTTGCTTATAAATCGTAAATTGTTAATTTTCTGTTTTCATTTAAACAAAAATTATCAGTCAATTTTATAACACAATAAGATTACGTCTACAAACTAAATTACCTGTACTAATAGTAGTACAAAGAAAAAAATCTTGCAAACGTATCATATAACGTTATAACTAAATACATTTCATATTACAAAAAAAAAAGGTAAAGAAAAACAATAACAAGGTTGATTTTATCCTGAAAATTATACCTTTCCCTGTAGTAAAGTCGCAACCGTGCATCAATGTGGGTTACCATTTCACTTTATACGTAGAATTCTAAGGCCTAGCGAAGACATCGTGTGTTATTACTAAAGAACACGGCCAGATTCTGTTGCTATTCTTGATTTCAGTTTCTTCATTATTATTACAATTTAAACTGCCAATTTTGTACCCGTTCAGAATGTCTTCTGATTTCGTCACTTACAGCCGACTAAAGATGTTTCTTCAGCCTGAGCAAGTCGACCAGCTAATATTAGCCTGATTTTTGTACTCTGGTCTTAGTCAGTAACGAAGATTCAATCATACTAAAAACATTTCTCGAATCATTATTTAAATCTTAATCAAACCCACTTCTTTACAGCCCTCAGATTCCCCTACTAAACAACTTATATGTAGATACGATGCTCAGAAAATTGCATTTACAAAACAGGTAAACAAAAAAAAGCATAAAAAAAAAGAGAGACTGTAACGGAGTTCCTTGTTTCGATTGAACGGCACCGCCTCGGGTGCGCCTTACCGTGACTGCGTCGCTGTTCCTGCACGAAACGTGCAGTATATATTAGTAGAAATATGCGCGTGTGCGCAACACTGTAACAGAACAGAGCTATTTATAACAGCCCCTCTTTCCAAACATTGTATTCTTCTGACATGTTAGCATCGAGAACGTAGTAATATTCTCCCTCAATGTATGTTATATTGTATGGTGACAAGGGTTGAGGAGATTCCCGTACCTCTGTGTACATTGATGAAATACGAAAACGTTTAATTAAAAAATAGTACTTTCACATGTTACGTAACAAGTATTCTGGGCACAGACGTTATAAGATAATGACTATTATTTCACATGTTCTTAGAATTACATGTAAATAATCGGGACGTGAATTGGTGAATGTGTGTTGTTCCGCAAGACGTGAGAAGAAATATTTGGATAAATGATACTAAAGAATAAATTGACACGTCTAAATGAAAACTTTTTCCGATTTATGTTGTGCGACATTTGTAGCAGACGGCCTTTATCAGGCACTTAAAACCGTGTTACACTAAAATTAGGCTCAGAAATAATCGTTAAAAGGTAAGGTAGTATAAATATTCTAATTACACACGTTCAACGTGGAGCACTGTGACAACAATACTGATAAAAACATTGTCGAACTTATCACGTAAATATTATTAAAATTAGCAAGAATATGGAAAACAGTAACTAGGACAACTTAAATTTGAAAATAATAAACATAAGCTCGCAAAATAGTAAAGTAGTAGCATAGGTAAGGATTTAACCAGCAGTAAGAGATAAAGTAAACGTGTAAAAAAATGTTTAATGGAATTATATTAGAGAAAAAGTTGGCGAAATTTTATAATTATTTGAAAGTAAATCTTTCGTTTATAACATAAGGGGTCTTGGTATTGATTTGGAAGCTCAGACGGTGTTAATTTACTGAGTGGCGCACTTCTCATGACTGAGACTACCATGTCGGAGGTACCATTGTGGTCAGGATAAATGAAGTGTCTAGGAACTGGGAAGTCAGAGGAGCCTTCTCTTACAGATCTAAAGTTTTCACGAAAACGATGGGGGCTGTTTCTCCAATATATAGTTTGTTACGCCTGCTACGCTGAAGCCAGTAAGCAGTAGCGTGCAGAGGGGGAGGGGGCGAAAGGTGCCGGGGCCCCAGGTATCCATATCGGGAGGGCATCCAACGCAAAGAGTCGAATCAAATAGTAGAACCCTTTCCGCCCTTCCCCAAGGTCTTAGGTACAAGGCCACGGGCATCATAGAACCTCTTCACGCCACTGCCAGTAGGTAACACATTCTGATGTGACGTGGAAAGTGTAACTAGGGCCAGTTATTGTGGTGGTGTTAGAAACGTATGGTCAGGTATGACAAATATATATGGTACAACGATGAGTTTTATCAACGGGAGGTTGTTGTCGTCTTTGAAGTTGGGATTACGTCTATAAGGTGCTAGGGGAGGTGTAGTATATATTTGGGCAGTGGTGGGGTCAGTCATCAGTAATTTAAATGTTTTTTGTATGATATTGGCTACTTATCTGTTGAGGGGACGGTATGTTAAAAGGATGGATGGCATCTGGTACGATGTGTGTACGTGGTTGTTTGATGACATCAGCCGGGTAGTTACGTTGTTGGAAAAATCCTGCCAACTCCGTGGTTTTGGAGAGGTCTTGGTTCTCAGGACCTAAGCCTTGTGAACTGCCCTTTGTTTTTAATCGTACCAAATACCACCTAACCATTATATACATTGGTGATATGTTGTTGAGGTAAAATCCCCATATATATTGAATGCAGTTCATTTAATTCTTCGGTAACGATAAACATTTTCTTAGGAAATCACTTTACCTCTTTTGTTGTCCATATGATGGCGCTTCAGTAGCAGGCAAGAAAGCCATAGTCGAGGGAATGTCAAGAGAAAGTTTGTAGCAACTAGTGTTCTAAATGAGACAGGTTTCGGAGGCAGGAACAACGACGGTCGATCTCCAGATGAAGAAAAATCCTCTCTGTGAAGAGACACAATAATTTGGATGATGAAAATTTCGATAAGTTATCTTCGCGATGTCTCTGTATTAACTTAAAGACAAATAGAAATTACAATATCGCAATATTAAGATAATAAACGTTACGTGTTTGTACAGTAATATCACTAACTTATGAATTAAAATGTATATATTTATGTGCGTGTTCGAGATTGAATAAAAATAAGACACTTAGCGTATGGTATCCAAGTAACCCTCTCCATACCCACTTAACATTTGGGTAATAGAACGTAATATCCTAGGTATCGTTCTTATTGTCCAACTTAACACGTTGTTGCGTCAGCGAGGTCACGTGACTAGTATCACGCCACGTCCTTCTCGAACCTTCGTGAATTGTCGGGAGACTACTAGATTGAGGGTAGTCTGGTATATATAAGACGGTCACGGCAATAATATGAGTAATTGAACGGAGTATTGTTGAGTCGAGCACGTGAGACGTTCGTTGAGAATTATAGCGTTTGTTATAGCGCGACTGTTGAAATTAAGTGTATCACAAAGTTATATTCAGAAAGAATAAACCAGTTTTATTTAAGAAAGGACTTGTGTCGCTAATGTTTCGTCGGAACGAATTTACGGAAAATTAACTAACGAACGGAGACGTAATAACGTCTTACGATAAAGGTAATAAGAACGTTTCCAAGTAACCACTGTCAGTATCCAGTTTAACATGTATTGCGACAAGGTAAATATAAAATTAGTTTTCAAGTTACCACTCACAGTTAACCTTAGCATTTCTTGCGATAATGGTAACTATATAGTTAGGTTGAATTATGCCATTAAAGGATGAATATAACCTCTTATTGTAGTCATTAACTTAGTTATAGTCAATAACTGTCAGTCATAAACAGTTTTCCGAAAATAGATGAATTGTGTGTTTTGTGGTAAGAGTTCCGCGCATTTTTCAGGATTCTGTAGAATAGTAGAGCCAATGCTGTTATGTCAGGATTTTGTCGATTATTGGGACCCTTGTCATTCTGTCGGGATTTTAGAGAATAATGGGCCTATTGTCATACTGCCAGTATTTTGTCGATTATTGGGACCTTTGTCATTCTGTCGGGATTTTAGAGAATAATGGGACTATTGTCATACTGCCAGGATTTTGTCGATTACTGGGACCTTTGTCATTCTGTCAGAATTTTTGAATTACCTTGAAGAAGAAACCACACAGGTCAGGGACTCGTGGTTGCAAAACTGGAGATATGTTATCAATAAAACTGATTTGATAACTACAATCAGTGAATAAATGTTACTGATATACTCTGGTTTCAGCTCTGTTGTTCATTTTGTTGAAGAACAATATAACCAGCAAAATTTAAATTTTTTGGTTTGTTTGTTTGTCTTAGGGCTACCTGTTGTGTTTATTGTAAGGGATCGAACCCTGTATACTTAATGCTGTTCCACTGAGGGACTTTTTTTTTGAGTAATTAATTTAACTTAAATAGCTGATAACCTAAAAGTTGTTAAGAGAGAATAAATAAAAGTTTGCATCATGATCACAGATAACATACTAAATGTTTGTTATTAACAAGTAAACTGATTGTAACTTGCGCCTGCATTGTTTAATATTACACTAGTGTTTTATACTTTCCATTGCTATGTGTTGTGAATTATTAATTACAACATGTATTTCCTTTACCACTCATCATCACATTTCCCAAAATGTGTACTTCACATGTTTTTATAATTATGTTAATATATGTTCAACGAGTAGGGATGATTGTAAGAGATACTCCACTACAATGGCTATGCAGCCTGAAGAAATCTAGATAAATGAACCCCCTTTAGTTTTTAATTATTATTATTTGCCATCTTGCAAGAAGACTGGTGACAAAATCTGTAACTTGCGTTAACAAGAAAGAAATGCCAAAATAACCAGAACAGAAATGTACAATGACGTATTGTTGAAGCACAAACAGAGTGGCTATTAAGTGTCCTTGAACTATCAAGTGAAAACAAGGATGTCGATCCTGATAACCATTTTACTAAACAGCTTGAAAAAGAGATCTTGAGAATAATGATGTAACACTGACGTACAGACTGACAAATAATGCTGTAACAAGTTACAAATTATCTGTTTAACCTCATTCTTAACAAAGATGGAACTTTAAGTAACCAGTGCTTAAAATCATAAATAATATTGAAGGTTAAAACTGGTACACAATTAAAAACATTTTATTTAGACCTGAGGTTGACGTTGCAACATCGAAACATGTAGAGTCGTCAACTTTTTCAAGGACATAGATAGGCCTAAATAAAATGTTTTTAATTGTGTACC